ATATATATATATATATATATATATGTGTGTGTGTGTGTGTGTGTGTGTGTTATACTTGTTGTACAATAACAATATCAGTTATGTAAGTTTTCATAAAAATTTAAATAAATGAGTTTGGGATGCTTGAACTGACCATTAGATCCACTTGTTGTTGATAGGCTAAATCAACCCGTATAGATGCTTTTGCAGTTAAAACTATTGGAGTACTACAAATCTTTAAACACGATAATATAGCCCGTCAGCGTTGTATTTCACCAATTTATAGAATCAGTTTACACTTTACAATACGTCAATTGCAAAAGTAAACTGAAAGTTCAAAGATATTTTATGTGGAAGATCAATGTCGGCTTCAAAAAGAAAAATAAAATAAACCCTTTACTTCCTAATTCCTATAGAACAAATAATTGAAATGAAAATGATCTTCCTACCAAACCTAATACAAGCCGGAACCAATCGGCTATGACGATAATAAGTCAATGGCATAATAGGCCAAATATATATACAACCACTTAAACTTGATATGAAATTTTATTTTGGCACCTTATCTTTACCTAATACCTATTGAACACTTCATGTTATTTAAAATTGTGCCTATTAAACACATTAGGTGACATGGAACAGTACGTGTTTCTCACTTTACATTCAACGCGTAAAAATGACTCTACTAGATAGACAAATGTAAGTGGCCCCCTCTTTCTTCTCTAACTTGGGCACCTCCAGGTTGTTCTTCCCGTCCCCAACATTTTCTTTGAGCGATGGATAGTTCAGATCTCCTAAGCAACTCCCAAAACTAGCCATAGCTCATAAACAATGAAATTCTAGTGGGGTTATAACCAATGGTGCATAGGAAATCCACGCAATCCTTCGTGTTCGATATCATATAAACCTGATTCAGATGAAGTGCTTCGTTCGGATCCACGTGCCCAGACTCACGAGAACAGACTAAATTCTTGCCCGTCGCAAAATCTGTAAAGGTTTGCCGGAGTTGTCAACGTTGTAAGTTGTTGTCATGAGGGACGATTTGATGTCGCAGATATAATGTTAAATTCCACTCTTCTTTGATTAATTTCCAAATTGGTTGGCACAATGGATCTGGTCCATCCGGCTAAACTGTTGACTTTGCTCCAATAACGTCAGGTTTAAGGATCTCCGACATCATAATTATTTTTTTGACACAGGCATATATAAAGCTATCATGAAACTCTAAGGCAATTTGTTTGGTTGCAGAAAACTTCCCGGAATTTTTTTGATCGGAAATAATGGGGTTGTCGGGAATTTTTTTTATCGATTAATATTTGTCGTTTGGATCTTTTTCCAGCCAACACTTCCTTTTATGATCTAGATTAATTTATTTAGTGAAAAGAGCGAAGAAAATAACAGATGTGAGATTAGGGGTTGAAAAAGGGTTCAGTAAGTTCCGACGAAGTAACATGGAGTTCAGCAAGCTAATTTCAGAATAGACAAGTAAAAAGGGAAAAAATGAAGAAGGCTGAGGTTTAGAGAGCCATGTGTCTTCTTCTAATTTGTTCCCTTGTCCATGTCATAGGCGATTAACAACACGCTCCTTGAAATGTTTAGAGGTGATGAGAATGTGTTTAATAGATACAGTGTTGAGTAACATGAAGTATTCAATAGGTACTATGCAAAGAATAGGTTCCAAAATAAAATTTCATGCCAAGTTTAAGTGGTTGTCTATGTATTTGGCCTATTTTTTTTTTCCATCAATGGCATGAAAACAGATCACCTAAAAATTTAGCTAAAGTTAAAAGATGGAATTATACCGTCTGCATTGGACCGTCACTTCTCATACCATTGCCCATTGGCCATAAAATTTGAAGTGAATCCCAGAGGCCAAAATAGGTGCAAGACCATTTAGATTTTTCAACCATTTGACACAACACCTTGGATTCCAATACTGGTCGTTACTGAATGGACCAAGACTCTAAACCTAAGAGGAATGACAGGTATTTGGCAAAACTTAAGAGAGTGAAAGGAATTGTGAAGAAGCTAAGTTCGAAAGAGTTTCATTGAGTGGATGACAAGGTTAAAAATATCAGAAGGCAGTTAGCAGTGATACAAGCAGAAATGGCAAACCCAAACCACCAAGCACAACTCTATGACCAGAAAAGGGAGTTGAAAGTGCAATTGGAAAAATCTATCATATCATATTATATTAAAAGCGGAAAGCTCCTATCTTCAAAGTTGGATTACGATTTTACTACTGTTGTAAATTAATTTTAAGTAAAATATAATAAAATATTACACATCTAATAAAATAAATATGAAATAGTAATATTATATTTACATGAAGACTAATCATGTTCAGGAGCATTTAAGTTATTTACTGCATTGAATGTAATCCTAATTAAAAAGGGTGAGCGAATAAGAAGCTCATAAGTCCTATTTTAATGCTCCACATTCACTTCTCCCTAAACATGTGCAACTAATTCTTAGTTAAATATTTAATTTAACCCATTTCACCTCCTAGATTTAACGTAAACTAAAACTTTTTTTTTATCAGTAAAGTAAATAAAAAAAAAAGGTAATGAAGAAAAGTCATTTTTCTAGGTTTAGAATCAATCTGAATATATATTATATTAGAAAAATTGTTACTCATTTGATTATATGTTTTAATATTATTTATACTTGTATACGGGTAAAATCGGGGATAGAGCATACCTCGATTTTTCGGTGAAGAAAACGGAAGAAGGGCATGGCTGCACGAGGCTGAAATCGAAGCCGGGAACCTTTCGTATCGAGACACACGAAAGAAGAACGATGTGTTCATCACTGGGCGTGATAAAGCAACGCTCCCCGGACCTAAAACAAGTTCTAAAACCTCGGAAAATACGGTAAACGATTACACACGACGGATAAAGGGCCGTGATATTCGTACCTGACAGGATATCACGACGCATATCTCGCTCGATGTCGGTTACAAATCAGTAATTAATGAGAAAGGAAGATTTTTACCTTTTTTAGACTTGTACTA